TTCAACTCTAGCTTTTTTACTAGTGGATGCACTTCTGTTGGTGCAGCTGGTAGTTTGAGCAGGTTTTGCGACGGTGGACAAACATGAGGAGGTTGTAAAAGTATTGGTTCGATTAGGGATACCAAGGTTGTGTTGGCCAATTTGGTATTACCAAAATGCCTGTGGCTTTTTCCTGTAGAATTTTTGAACAGTTTGTAAGATGCAGCTGAAAGGAGGGAAACAATAAAAGTTTAAGTTTTCCACGGGATGGAGAACGCATCAATATATGTTGCCTCAGGGTCTGGTCGATAAGAGCAGTATTGATTAAACTGTTTGTTTAGTCGTGAAGCGAATAAGTCAATTTCAGGCTGGAAATTAAACTTGCTCATGGCAATCTTGATACAAACGGGATTTAACCTCCATTCACCTTCACGGTACAATTTTCTTGACTCTTTATCCGCAATTACATTTTTTGACCCTGGTAAATGTGCGGCAGATATTTTGATTTTGTGCATTATGCAAAATTCCCAGATTTCCAATGCTGTAGTATTTAACATGACACTATGACTAGTGCCCATATTGTTTATGACAAACACTGCAGTACTATTGTCTACCATCATTTTAACATGTTTATTTCTTAGATTAGAAAGAAACGATTTTAGCGCAAATAGTACGGCTTTCATTTCTAGAATATTGATGTGATATTCAGTTTCATGTTTGCACCAGTTTCCTCCAGTGTACTCTTTCCCTAGGGCGGCCCCCCAACCAGTCAGAGATGCATATGAATAGAGGACGATGTCAACTGGTATAGATAGAATGTATTTAAAAGAGTCCTTTAAATTTTTTAGCCACCATTTCAATTCTGCTTTGGATTCATCGGAAATAATCATAAACGATTCAAAATTGCCTTTGTTTTGTGACAATGCTAAAGTTTTATCTTTCTCAAGCTTTCGATAGTAAAGCGGTCCAAATTCCACTGCTGGAAGGCTTGATACTATATGACCAATTACCTGAGCCACTTCTCTAATCCGAACTTTAGCGGGCGCTAGAATTGCTTTAATAAGGGAGAGCAATTTTTCTTTTTTACTATTGGTAAGTTGAATTGTCATGGTTCGTGAATTTATTAAAAAACCAAGAAAAGTTATTTCTTGTACTGGAATAAATGCAGATTTCAATGGGTGAATGACAAAACCGAGCTTCTCTAATAAAATTAAGGTTTGTATAATTGTGTCAAGGCACTTTTCATAGGAACAGCCTACCAGGAGTAAATCATCGATGTATATAATGACAATGTGACCTTTTACACGTAATGTGGCCAGAACTGGTTTAAGTAGCTTAGTAAATTTCCTCGGGCAAGAGGAGAGGCCATTAGGAAATGCTGTATATTGGTAAAATTTTCCTTTGTAAAGGAATTTTAAGAACTTTTGAGATTCTGGATGGACAGGTACGCTATAGTAGGCATCTTTTAAATCTAAAGAGGCCATCCAGCAATCTTTTGTGATAAGTTTAAGTACAGTGTGGATATTTTCCATCTTAAAATGAAAGTTTTCGACCGATTCATTTAGTTTCTTTAAATTTAAAATCAGGCGGACACCACCATCCTTTTTAGGAGTGGTAAAGATAGGTGATACAAATTCAGTAGAATCAAATTTACTAGGAATAATTACTCCTTTATCTCTCAATGCCTGAATAGCTTCATCGATTTCGCTTCTTCCTTGTTTAGGAAGAGAGTTAGGAGGAGACTGGTGCTGAACTGGTTTAAGACCTTTAAAAGAAATTTTTGCCCCTGAAACCATCTCAAGAATATCGGGGTCTGTAGTAAGCTTTGCCCATTCATTGTGGCATAGTTTAATTTGACCAGCCTGAAATGAATTAACTTTTCTGGTCAAATAAGGTTTAAGTACATGCTCAACAAATTCTGAAAATTGTGTTACCTGATTTTTTAATAACTCTAGTTCTTTGTGAATGTTTTCCGGTTCTGGAAGTTTTGGGGTTTTCTGGGAGGGAACTGTGCCCTCCCTTGTTGGTATAAAAAAGGCTTGCGTGCCTGTGATTGGGTTGATGAAAACCGTTTTGAAAAATTAATTTGTGCCCGTTGGCCTGGATTGGGTATAAGATTCATTACTGTCTTACTAGAGCTTCGAATATCTTGAGCACATTTTGCTAGGTCTTCCCCAAACAAAAGAGGGCCCACTTTGTGAGTCCTTGCACAGAGCGGTTTAAAATCAGGATGAAGTATGGGCCGAATTGCCTCTTTGCGCTTGTATGAAAGTTCTTTGCATACATGGCCAAATAAAGCAGTTACATCAAGCAGTGTTGGTATAAGAGCTCTATAATTTGGAATTGTCTTATTTTCCCGGCATTTTAAAAGGTTGTCAATGCTACTAGCAAGCCCTGATAAACCTTTGATGGTGGAATCTTGTAGATTCGCCATTTTGATATCCCCTTTTTTAGTAAATGGCTTCATTTTTTGCCATATTTCTTGATTTATTCTCGGCACATACATTTGCTCGCAATTTTTAGGCCGAGGGTACTTATTAAGAATTTCTTTTAATTTGGTAGCGTCAAAATCTTCGCTAAGCTTGGCGTTTATGATTTTTGCCAATTTTTCTGAAATGGGGGGCCCGGTTTGCTCCTTAGAAGACAGTGTTTGAGCAATTTCAGAAAGAAGATCATCGTTATCGACCGCGTTTTCAATTTCTGAATCAATTTCTGGTCCTCCGAATAAACTCAAAGTATCGTCTGATTGTTCATGCACAATCTCAGGGTTTTCCTCAGTACTTTCAGACTCAGGACTTTGCTGGTCAAATGAGCGGTCATTGCCGTCAGAATTGTGCCCAGACTTTGTGGTAATTTTTGCCCTCTTTGGGGCCGAGTGCTCATGCTGTTCGCCTTGTTCGGCTTCGTCTATGATCAATAATTCATTGTTTTCAATAGACGCACGTGATCGCTTTTTGGCGGCATAATGCTCGTCAAATATACCTTTCAGATATTTATTCGTTTCTCACATGTTAGCCTCCATAGCCAAAAACAATGAGTATAAACGTGAGTCACCGCTAATGGGAGCACTATCATGCCGTTGCGGCGCGCTGATTTCATAAAATTCAGACACGGCGTGCTCGTCATCGGTTAATGATTTGGATGACATACTTTAATTGTTTCTATATAAATGGAACAAAAGTTATGAACAATAACGTTAGGAAAACGATAAACTTATCTGTAATTAGCAATTGTATCCTTTTTAGAAGATCCTGTGAGAAATTGTATTATGGATGGAAGGATTATAATGAATAAATATCCTTCCTAAATTTTTCCGTAGCTTCGCTTGCGACAAGACGTACACAACTGGCTAACTTGCGCATGCGTATGCTCTCTCGTACAACTCTGACACGACCATAGCTGATGACGTAGTAGAATTAAAAATTCTATGACAATCTTTAGTATAATTCAATTTGATCACGCTATATTTTCATTGAAAATACTAAGCCCCCTCAGAATTGGTTTCTGTTGAATGAAATGCAAATAAATGTTTTCACTGTTCTATCTTCATTGTTAACTTTTTACATAAGAGAAATAACATAATATGCAGCTAAAACAACAAGAAATTATTTACCCCCCGGGGTTTGTTTGAATTTTAAATATTTCTTCAGAAATTCACATTGTTGTCAATATGTCGCAATTTCTATGTAATTGTATCATATGATATGTAAATAATGGCATTCCAGATTTGAGATATACTGAATACCCAGCCAAGGTTTCTCGACTAAACAAAGTTTCCATTCTAAAAGCATATTCGCTGAGTGGGTCTTCAAAATCATCTCATGACTATTCCAAGACCATATTTTCACTCCACTACTTGATTTGAAATATTTTAGCAAAAATCTTACCGTCGATAGACGAGTCTGCTGTTGATACGTAAGAGCACAATTTCTGATTCACACTCGATGAGCACGTATGAGTGAGAAGCCTCAGTCCCCCCTCACTTCCAACCTTCTTTGGAGTAATTTGTGTCAGGAACTTGTCTTAGATTGAGTGCAACTTAGTTCCTCCATGCATTCGATCTGCTGAATTCTCGTTTCTCTTCCTAAGGCTTTCTTATGCCGTTTTTCTATTGTCACCACTCACCAGAAGGACAAAAAGTAATAAAAATAGCAAGGCAAAAGATTGATGTCACAAATATATTGATGTTTATTTTAAATGCTAGTTTTATATCATAATTTGTACTCAAAAAGGTTCCTTTGGATAGAGACATTTTTGGTATGTTTGGTATGTTCTTCTCCCCTTCTCCCCACGCACGCCTTCACATTTTGGCAATATGCATACAAACGAATTAGTGAAGAAAATAACGTTAAATCCAAAGAATTCTTTGAAATTTGAATGATGTGCTATAGAAGTTTAAACATTTAAGATTCTGTCGTGGTCTTTTCTAGAATACTGCTTTAGTAAAATTGACTTATTAATATCTCACATAGTGAATTAAATTGAACCTATTGTACATTTTTAGACGCAGCACGAACATTCATATTTTTGGTGATAGTTTTAATTATTCTACCGTCAATGACTGAGAAAGCCATTTTAAGGTTTTTGTATATCCTAATATTCTAGTTTGGAAATCTTCGCACCGTATGATTTTGTTACTAAAAAACAGATGACCATCTATCTTGTAAAAATTTACTCACTATTTTGTAAAAAAAAGGTTGTCAAAAATGAGTACGGCAAGGTTAGTAGCTACTCCAGTCCATTATGAAGTTCAATAAACCACAATCCCCAGCCTTATTTGCGCACTCTTTTAGTCATAATAAAAATTAGCTAACACATTGCCATAATTTTTCTACTGCCAAGCAATTTTGATCACAATTTTGTAATGCTGAAAAATACAAAAACCGATTTCTTCAAGAAAACACTGTCCAAAACAAGTGCTCATTTTCTTTTCTTTAGAAAAAGCCAAGTTTATTACTTAGCCATATTAATTAGCTATGTCGAGAGTTTATATCCTTTAACTTACTTAGTCACGTGTTTCTTCCTTTCGTGACGCCCGCGCGTGTAAGAAGTATAGAAGAGATTTTATTCGTTCTTGGACTAGGCGTTGCTCATTATCATACGTGTGAATTTCGCTAATTCGCTTAAATCCGTTTTCCGCTGTCGTACTCATTTCAATGATTCAATCTGTAATTGCAAAGAAGGGCGATTTTGGTTTTTTTCACTTTTCATTATTTCTGTTACAACAAGAAGATTGAAAGAGGTCTGTGTTTGGCGAGCAACTTCAGACACCAATAATCCATAAATACAAAGACAAACAGACATTTGAGGAAGGTGAATAAAATAGTTTGTTATGACTTAATTCTTATGTCGTCATATAAATTTTCAATCAATAATATTGATTCGCCATTTTTCCTTTTTGTGAAAAACCAACATTATAAAGACAAACGCAATGTAAGAAGTATATAGCAAAGCAAATTTGTGACACGAAATTGTCTTTGATTGAGCAATTTTTAATTACTTAACGCATTTGGTCAGGGCAAATTGTTGTTTCTCTTCCTTATTCGTTCATTATGACTTTATTTTATCAACATTATTAGTTTAAAATGAATGTTTAAGCCCAGAAGTATCGTTGCATGTTTGTAGATGTACATTGTTTAGGTCAGTACAGTCCTGAGAAAGACTGCTGGTGTTGATGTTAAATGACGTTTCGACAACATTAGCGGTAGTCATCTTCAGAACGAGTCAAGTAAGGAGTCAGGTTAGCGGTATTTGTTGTCTTGTTCATACGTCATCGTATTGTCTGTAAGTGAAATGTGTGGGTGTCAATTGTGTATTGTCATCATGAAAGTAATGTTTGAGGTTGTGAATAAGTCGTTTTCGTAAAGTGCAGGTAATTGTTGTGATCTGTTCAGTGGATTTGTTCTAAGTTGGTATACCAACTTTCTAACGTAAGCCCTCCATTGTCTGTAGTCAGTGTTGTAAGTAATGCATTTTACCAAGTCCCAATGAATGCTGTGTTTTGTCAGTTGGTGATGTTCTGCACTGTGATTAGTTTTGTCTTGTTTCTTTGTTCCTCGTTTGTGTTCAGTAAGTCTTATGTTTAAGTTCCTGTCAGTCACACCTTTGTAGACGACGTGGCAGTCGGAGGTGTATATTTTGTAAACTGCACCTTAGCGCTCGTTTGATGGAAGATGGATGAACAACAGTTTACAACGCAGAATAAATTGCTTTTTAAAACATAGAAAATTTCCCAAACATTGCAAAGGTCATTCGACAAACTGAAGATTGTCAACGTTATCAATAAAACGTAAGCACTAGCTGCACTAAATATCATTGAATGAATTCTGTTGAAAAGGTCAAAGTGAGTTTAGTCTTATAAATTAAAGCACGACGTACTGATCGACACAAACTATTGTAACAACAAATACAATATATAATATAGATGCAAAATTAATAAACTAAAGCAGAATCAGCCAGAAAAATGGTTACGGTTTCCACACAGAATTTCCCTCATTATGTTATTTATCCTAATTTGAATAAACTTCCCTTCTCTTTCAAAAGCTCTCACTTCGACGTATTTCCCTCGTTGTCGCTTTTTTACTTTCGTCACTTGACAATGTAGACTTTGAGCCATATTTAATGTTAGCTAATAAATATCTTTACAAGTCGCTACACACATCAATTTTCATGTCTTCAAACACACACAAACGATACAGAATCGATGAAATAACGGGACTAAATAGTGGACTATAAATATCGTCTACTCTTTGTAAAACTTTACTGCAGAGAGAGATCTAGGATAATTTTGTAGGAATGGTGCTCTAGTTTTTATAAGATCTCGTTCGGTCAGTTTAGTTTCACGCTTGTCAAAAATGCAGTACGCGCGTTCAGCGGTTTTCTCAAGAAAATAGTCATTTAATGTCATGTAAAGTGTTGTAAAGTAACTCTTGAATATTTGCCGGTAAACTATCATTAAATCAACAACATAGCAGGAGCATTAAGTTTTATTTGGATTTTGTTGGTATTTTAAAATTCCCTTCATTTTTCTCTCATTATCGATTTCTTCTTTTTCCCTCCTAATTTGCAAAATTTTCTTGCGAAGGTAAAATCTTGTCAGTTGAAAATGCTGTAAACATATTAATATATATTAATACGATTGGTTGAAATTTGAAAAGAAATAAAGCATTTTATTTGAATGGAGTATTCATACAAACACAGCTAATTTTGCTAATATTTTTGCTTTTGACAGAGACGCAGTAGATTTATATACAAGCTCTACGAGTACAAATCATCAAAACGCCATGCCTCTTTATAGCTTAGTGGTCTCTATATTTCAATGTTTTGCGAACAAAGCCCGAGATGCTGCAGCAGACAGGCTAGAAAACGGTGACGTTGGTAATGAAGCATTTCGCAAACTTATCAAGCGAGATTTACACGACATCAAAACAAAGCTAGATAATCTTTTGAAAATAGACCTTCACTCCAGTTTGAACTACTTGGAGGAAGGATTTATTCAATTTTTTAATTGCATTGACGAAGTTAAAAGTGATAGAGAAGGTGAAGAAGCAAGTAATAATGATGAGTCTCAGGCAACTTGTACTGCCATCACCACCAGGTATGATCTTTCCCGTGCAATACAACATTCAAAGGATTTTGAATCCGCAAAGAATCGATTTATAAAATGTCGTGAAGAAGCAACAAGAGCTTTCAACAACAAAAATTTAAGCTTGGAGGACAGAATATTTGCCGTTATTGTTCAGATCATGGCACAAATTTTTGAATGTCCGAAGAATCGAAAGAATGTCATTGATTTATGTTTAACTTATATAGAAAGGCTGCATGAATTGGACGGTGTTCGTCAAATGTTCTCTGTTTTTATCGGTGGTGGCATGAGAGCGATGTTCAAGAAATCCCAAAGAATGGAAAACATGAAGTCTGTCATTCTTCTCAACCATTATTTATATAAGTTGATTTTAAGGATCAACATGAATCATGATCATTTATCAACTTGGCCAAGTATTGAACTTGGAGACGGAAAAATTTTTAATCCAATACAGGACAGGCGCAAGGAATTCGCTGTCGAGCCTTGGGATAAAAATTCGATTAACTCTTTTCGAGAGATGAAAAAAATGAAAACTATGATGTTTGAACTTTTGGACAAGATGACTATAAATGAACATTTTGCTCCAATATTCACCTCACCAAGTGAATTAGATATGGATTTATTAAGAAGTGATATTTTGGTTGCTGGAGGCGACATAAAGAGTGTTGAAATTTTTTCATGGAAGGAGAAGAAATGGCTTAAGATTGCATCAATGGAAAAAAAACACTGGTCGGCTTCATCATTTATTTATAATAATAATTTATTTGTTGTTGGAGGATATCTCTGCAAGTCAATGGAGACATTGAATATAAAAGAGTTTCCTTTAACATGGAAGACACTTCCCACAAAGCTTCCTTATGAATGTAAATTTCATCAAACTGTTTTTTATAAACAACAAATCCTTTTCATTGGAGGACTTATTGTTTGTAATAGATCAGATTTGATCAGTGAAATAAAGATAACTGGTACAACATCTTATGTTTTAAAAGAGCTGTGTCATATGCCTGAACCACGTTCGCACCATGGAGCTGTTGTTGTTGATGATAAAGTTTTTATTTTTGGAGGAGTGGGAAAAGGTTTCGAAGTTTTGTCCAGTGTTTTGGAACTTGATCCAAGGACATTTACATTTAAGGAAATGCCTCCATTACCTCATCCATTGGCTGATATGGCAACAGTTCAATGGAGAGATCAAGTTGTTCTTCTTGGAGGTTTTGATGGAAGAGAAAGATTGAACAGTGTTATTATGTATGACAGCAAAACAGGTAAGATTACAGTCTTACCATCCATGTTGGAAAAGAGATCCTGTTTTTGTGCAGTTATAACTGGTGATACAATTGTTGTCATGGGAGGTCTGACTGATAAAAGACAACTTAAATCAGTAGAGTGTTTCGAAATGGGAAGTAGTTCTTCATGGACATATCTTCCTTCAATGAATGAAACACGAAGTGGAGCTATTGCTGAAGTTTTACCTTTTGGACAAAAGTATGTCTAAGAGACGAAATTTTATTAAGTTATGTAACGTTATAACTCATCAATGTTCGTTTGAACTACATTGGATGATAAATTTGTAAAATTTAAAATGTATAGTTCAAAAGTTCATATAATCATTAACTATTTTGATAAATTTCTGAAATAGGTGAATGGCTTTTGTATCTTAATAAGTTTGAGTTTTTGGAGCATAGTTTATACCTTTTTTCTTGTCCTTGTTTCATTGCAGTTTATTGAACAATAAAATACAAGTTTTCCATGGTAAAAATTACTTTACTTAAATATTTTTCGTAGTTGCCAAAATACTTCCCAGTTTACCATCGACCACATTTACAAAAATCTACTAATTATCTTACACATTTGAAATGTTGTGAAGACAATCAGTTTGTAATTAACTTCTCATTCGCGAACACAATGACTTTCTGCATTACTGAAGTAATAATATTTAAGCCTGGTTCACACGAGTAAAATAAGCACAAACGTCGAGACTTTTGTTTTTTTTTGCTCTAGAGATTAATAAAGACAAACGCATTGGGATTTTCTTTAAATCTTTTTTTGTTCTTCTTTTGTTCTTCTCTTAGCTTATGCTTGAATTTTTTAATGAGATTTCACCGCCATTTTAAAAGAAAGCAAAAGAAACAGTAGATTTTAACCTGTATCCTACCACGTTTGGTAATCTTCAATAAATGTAGGTCCATTTGAGAAATAGCAGTTGAGTAAGATTTCCAATTTTTTTTGTGGATAAAACTTTTAAGATCAAATTTTCATAGCTTATGCACTGCTTGTGCTTGTTCAACCACTACGTCTAGTGATGTGTTTTTTATGCCATGTTTTCGGTCGGAAGATGAGTAGAAATTTCCAAATAAATAGTAAATATTCTATTTAGAGATGAGATAAATATTATTTCACAAATAATTTGCAATATTATGTTTTATTCGTTCATTTTAACGCTTTTATTCGGAGGTTCGTAATTGTAATAACGCAAAATCTCAAGATTTGTCTTGTAACCTAGCAACTGCCTTTTCTCGCACATTTCAATGCATACTCACGTGATTTCTTCACGTTTTCCGCCTGTCTTCAGAGGACGGAACCATTGAGTTTTATAATAACTGGAGCGGCTATCTCTCAAATGTTGATTCAAGTTTGTTTTTGCCTTTGAATTTCGTATCAGAGTAATCATGTAGACGTATTTACATGAATTTTGAAAATTTTTGGCCAGAAGAATCATCGCAAAGGTAAGAAATAAAAATAAGCCATTATATTTCAGATATATTTGTAAAACTTGTTGTTTATGGTAACATTTCATCAACAGTTTCAAACTATTCATAGCATGTCTGTGATTCAATTAGTGGCAAGCACAATCGTGACGAATCAATTTAATTTTCCAGCTCATTTTATCTTGAATTAAAGTATTTATCATTCACACATTACTATATTTTGAAGCACTCATTTTAATTGCACAATTTGCACTGATACCATAACAATGATTTTGTTGCATGTCAAATAATATTGATAATAATTTTATCTGCATCTAAAATGTGTTGACAAGGTTATGGCAAAGTCAACATTAAGGCAACTTGCATGAAAAAATTGACCACATTGATCACAACCCAGCCAGTCTTCATTGTCATCCTCTCTGCATATTTTGCAAACAGCCACATTTCGCTTCCTAAGATATTCATAATGAATTCCATATAAAAATATTCAACCAAATGTTATTTATGCCTTACCGTGTGATATCATCATAGCAAGACCCAAGTAATGTTGAAAGGATTCGTTTTCTCTCAGTCTCCATGTTTGCTGGTTTTTGATCCAAGCCAAGGGCTAGACATCGAGCAAACTGATGCGAAATGAGCAGTTATTGAATAATCATGTTTGTAAAAATAGCTATTCAAGTAAAGTTAGGCTATTTTAAGCTTACCAAGCATATGTACACTCCACAGTTATACATATCTTCCTGTTTACAATGGAGTGGCTCAAAACATTGCCATGAGCTTGAGTTCCAACCTGTTTTTACATCTACCAAAGCACTAAAGCAGTGACAAACAATGACCACATGAATGATAATATTGATTGTTGAAAATGATTTTTGGGCAAATCTTTTAAGATCAAGTTTGATAATTACCTTAGTTTGTTTATATGATTCATCATCTGTGTATTAGGTGTCTTTTTGTCTGCACTTCCTCCAAGTGAGTCAAAGTAGAGTCTTGTTTTTGTGAACTTATCTATAGTCTATATTACACAAAATTACTATTGCATTTAGTTAAAAATTTTCTCTTTGTTAATTAAGGAATTATATGAGTTAATGTTTCTATGGATACTAATTTTTGCATGTAAATCTGTGTACTCATGTGGGCTAAGTATGTGTATAATTCATGTCTATATTTTATTATTTAGCTCAAATACTTACCAGTAGTGTCCAATGAATGCCATGGATGTTGATTGGAAAAATAATAATTTTAGTTTGGTGAAAAGATATATTAGCCTATGTGCATCTTGTGCTTTAGTTGTTTTTAATAATCTCTGAAAAAATGATTCTGCTGCAAGAACAGTAGTGTAGTTTTCAGTCAAACTCCACAAAAAAGCGTCAATTATCTAAAATCAAAAGAAAGCATAGTTTGAAGAGATTTCCTCTCCAGTTTTACATGTACATAGCACTCATGGTTATAAACAATGACTTATAATGATAAATAAGAAGACTGTATTAGACGCTTTTCTCTCTTACAGAGTCAGCCAACCAGGTTTGAATGTGGTGACTTCTTTTTCAATAATTTTTAATTCTTTTTCAGTTATGTCTTTTGGACTGACAAGTGACTAAAGATCTACTGTTGATACATTCACAGGACCAAATTCCAGCACAGTATCCCCAAGACGCTGTCTTTCTGTAAATGCATTTATTCGTTGTCTTGGAGTCAGAAAGAATGAATTGTATGTCGACTGTTTGCAAGTATCAGTGTAGGTGCTGTATTATTTAAAAACATAGTGCATCAAGATACATTCACAATTTCAGCTCGTTTTGCAATGAATCACAGACCTTTCTTGTTGTTCCAAGTTGTTGATTGGCGGTACTTCAGTTCTTTCTTGTGATGCCTGGATTTCTTCTGTTTCACCCTCATAAAACAATTCTTGCTCAACTGGATCTTCAAGTGCATTCTGGGACGTAAATTGTGAGTAAAAATTATAATTTGTAAAAAAGAGCTCGTCAGTCGAGGTTGCCAAAATGAAAATTATCTCAACTTGTTTGATGATACAGCGCTCTTTTTACTTATGTCTGGGATCATTGTTGTGATATAGTTATAAGCATGCTTCTTTTTGCGACGAAAAGGCAATTTTTTATGAAATACTTGATGATACTCCACACTTGTTACTTTCAAACGCTTTTTTGTTGGACTATTTCTAATTGGCAAACCTTCACTGACTGGGCAGTTTCCATTTAAGATTTCGTGCATTTTATTTGCGTAGTCACGCGCTTCTTACAAAGGTTTTAGGTCGTTGACGGTGAATGCCTGATTTCGAACAAGGCTCAACTTCTCCAGCAATAAATTTCACGTTTGTGTAGTTTCCTTTAGTTCGCAAGATTTTTCTGTCTTAATTTTGTTTTCCTTTGTTTCACGTCTTCTTTCATCCTCTTGCACTATTACGTCATAGGTATGCTCGACAATCTCTGCATTGTTCTTGTTTTCATTATCAGTCTCCTCGTGTTTTCTCTTTTTTTCATATTCTTCTAGATTCAAGCCATTGTCCAATGTTATGAAAACGCTGTTTCCATAGTGTTGTGGGAGGGCTGTGAAATTCCATTCTTCAAAGGTATTGAAAATTGTGTACATGTGTTTACAGGAAAATTGCGTTTTTCTCCATGAATTACAGCTACACTTTGAAACGCTGAGATTGATTTCATACCATTTAGTTTTGTCTGATGAGCTTTTAACGCAGAAATCACCGTTGCTATTGTCGATGCAATCAACATCATTATCGCGAAACTCGCGCGATGCGAATGAACTTTTCATACAGTGCTTGATAAAGTGGTTTGGACGATTATGCAAATAGTATGGAACATTCTCGTTGCATTTTCTGTATTGGCTGCTTTGTTTGAAGTTGGTGTCTTTGTAGTGCTGATAAGAGTCTGGAAGAAATGACTCTACCATTGTTGTAACTACACCATATCTTGATTTTTCGATAGCTCTTCGAAGATAATTGTACTTAAAGTGCCTGTTTTGCGATTCGACGTCGTTGTTGGTGTTCATTATATTAACAGCTTGTCGTTTTCTAAAAGTTTTAGCCCACTGTTCTTTGCAAGTCATCCATGTGTTTTCAACCTAGCTTTTGATATGGGCTTTCTCATAAACAGATGAGCTTCGAAGTGCTTCCAATGCATCGTCGAACAGATTTTGATGTGTTGATCTTGCCACTTGCTGTAAAAGGTGGTGAAATTCTTTCTGTTCTGATGAGCTGAGACCGTTTTTGGCCAACCGTGGCCATCTTTGCCAAGCCTGAATACGATGAAAGTCACATATATAAACATGCGCGTCTGAAAATAGCTTTACTAAGGCGTTTTTTCTGCCGTTCAAAAGTCTACCATGAAGTAAGATGTGTTCCAGTTCTTGACTACATCTAAAGCTTCACAGATAGATTCACTGTCCTCGTTCTGACAAATGAATTCAGCCACAAATTTATACCCAACACTAGTATGAACGCAAATGAAAAATAATGGCAACGCGTATTTTGTGGTTTTGTACGTTACATCCATCAGAGCCAATTCGGATAACAATGATAACAGTAGTTAGACTTTATTTTAACCTTTTGAAACAAATAAGTCCAGTTAAAGAACACTTTTTCAAAAAGATTGATTCTCTTTGTAATACAAAGGGTGTATAAAATTCTTCAACATTTAGACATCACAAAATATTCCAATTTTCTGACAATGACTTTGGAATGAATTCAAAATCACAAGATTTTTACAACTTACACTATTCAGCAGTAAATTATCCCCTAGGAGGCTGAACACGATTTAAAGGAGTTTTGTGTTCGGGATTTGCATTGGACAGTAGCTGAAATTTGTGTAGTCTTCAAAGACTTTTTCGATATAGTCGACTAGTAAACAGTGTAAGCTCCCTTACTGTAACCAAACACCATTAATATTCGTTGCTCTGTGGCTACTTGAACCATTCGTAATGGAACTGATTGATAGTACTACGTAAAGTGGAATTTCGCTGCATTGTTCTAGCTTACATGACGTACAAATTTAGAATTTGTATTATGATTTGAGGA